CACACATGGATTCTACCTCTAAAATATGCCTCCAATGTGACACGATCCTCATGTAAGCCACCATGATCTGTCACTGACTTCCTCACCTCTCCATCACTACAACCACCCAGGGCCGCTAGGTGATCTTCATAAACATGATTCAGATTATTTTCTTCCCTGGGCCAAAGCCTTCCATGGTGTCTGTTCTGAATTTGGATCAAAATCCAAAGCCCAGGTCCTGCACGGTCCTCTCGCCGCCTTCCCATGAGACATCCGTAACGTCTAATCAGAAAGCCTAACTACCAATAACATAGAATCTTGCCCTAAGCTCAGAACCTTTCGATGAAGCTCAAGAACTTCTAGAACACTGGAGACTCAGAATGAGAACCACAGGCCCTCAGGAAACCTTATTGTTGCATCGTGCACGTGATGAAGAATGGTTTTATCTTTCTTTGTTGTTCAAAGTTGCTTCCTGCATGGACCCACTACTGCCATCAGAGACCAAGTTCTGAGGCTATGGGCCTGCTGCTGGCTTAAGATATGCTGTGAACTAGGAGGAATGAGCTCCTCTCTTAACCACAGTGTTCTTGATCCCAAAGCCTATCTCGCAAGCTCTCTTGACACAGACGTTGCTCAATATTACAATCATACAACAGTGTTTGCTAAGATGATGTCAGTGGCTGGTACATACTGCTTTCCCTGATTTGTAAAATCTCTGACTTTTTTGTCTTTGTTAATATTCTGTGGCTGCTGTGACCAATTACCACCAACCTGGTGGCTTAAAACAATAGGAACTTATTCCCTTATGGTTCTGGAGGCAAGAAGTCCAAAATCCGTTTCCCTGGGCCAAAATCAAGATGCTAGCTGGGCTGTTCCTTCTCCAGAGGTCCTCGGGGATCCCCGCTCCTGTTTCTGGAGCTTCCTGTAGGGGGCACCATTCACAGACGTGGCCACACCACTCCAGTCTCTGCCCCTGTGGTCCCACCGCCGCCTCCTTTTCTGGGCATCTCACCTCATCCCCCCTCTCTCTTCTCAGGTCACTTGAGGTTGCCTGCAGGCCTCCCCCCACCAGATAAGCCCAGATCATCCCCCCATCTTAAGATCCTTAATGTAATCACACCGGCAAAATCCCTGCCATATAAAAGTAACATGCACAGGCTTGAGGGGCTGGGATGTGGACACTTATGGGAGGACTATTATTCAGATGACAACAATCCCCACAGCCTGGTCTCCAATCTGCCACAGTCATGTGTTCACCACAAAATGGGAGACTGAAACTGGAGGCTCTTTTTCCCTGGGCTGCTTAGGAAAGATGGGAAACCCAGGGCCCTACAAAGAGCACGCTCCAGTTTCCCAGAGAAGAGAGGACTTGATTTCTTCCCTCTTATCCAGTTTTAAAGAAAGGTAGGTATTCGCAAAAATGTATCCCCTTTTAAACACCTCTACCTTCCCAAAAGACCCAACTTTACCCCCAAATTACATCTAAAGTAAAGTGGAATGCCAAAAATAACAAGCGAAAAAAGCATTCTGTAAAGAATGTTTGGGAGAAGAGGAGAAGAAAAACTCTGTGTGTATGTGTGTGTATGTGCCTGAAAATAATACTTGGATGATTGGCAAGAGTTTCCTAGTGCTCTCTTAGTCACTCTCATTGAGCCTTGACCTAATTTTTCTGATCTGAATTTTTTTTCTTTTTTGAGTCGGAGTCTCGCTCTGTCGCCCAGTCTGGAGTGCAGTGGCATGCTCATGGCCCTCACAGCCTCGACCTGCTGGGTTCAGGCGATCATTCTACCTCAGCTTTCCAAGTATCTGGAACTACAGGCATGCACCGCCATGCCTGGCTAATTTTTTTTATTTATTGTAGAGATGAGGTCTCGACAAGTTGCCCAGGCTGGTCTCGAAACCCTAGGCTCAGGCAGGCCTCTCGCCTTCGCCTCCCAAAGTGTTGGGATTACAGATGTGAGCCACTGCACCTGGCTTCTCTTAATTTTTAAATGGTCTAAGTGTGGATTACAAAATTTCCCAATAGGTTTGCTATATGAATTAAATGAGATGCGTATTCATACGCAAACACACACACGAATATACACTTATACACACTAGCATGTAGTAGTGACCCAATACACATTTATCGAAGCTGAACTCCTTCAGTTTTATGATCCAGAAAATAGTTCAATTATGCCAACCCAGTTGAGAGAAATTAAATAGCCAGTCATGCTGTAACCATCATAATATAAGTGGACCTGCCAGACACGGTGGCTCACACCTATAATCCCAGCACTTTGGGAGGCCAAGGCAGGAGGATCACTTGAGCACAGAAGTTCGAGACCAGCCTGGGCAATATAGCAAGATGTCATCTCTACAAAAAATAAAAAAATTAGCTGGGCATGGTGGTGTACGCATGTAGTCCCGATACTTGGGAGGCTGAGGCAGAAGGATCTCATGAACCTAGGAGGTAGAGATTGCAGTGAGCTGTGATTATGTCACTGCATTCTAGCCTGGGCAACAGAGTGAGACCCTAACTCAGAATTAAGAATAATAATAACAGTAATATAATAATATTAATAATAATAAAACTGGACTTGGCATTCCCCACCAGGACATACATGCAGATCCTTTGTGTTTCCTTCTAAGCATTTATAGGCTGAAAATGTCCTTCTCTCCTTACTCTCCCCTATCTTCTTCAGGAATTAATAAATTAATTACCTTATCAAATATTAATTATAACCTAATTCATTGCCAGACTTGCATTACAGTTGTCTTAAACAAAGCCATCTGAGGAAAGATCTCACAAAGTGTTTTGTGATAAACTGTCCCACATGCAGTCAGAAAAGCTCACATGTGACAAATTCCCTTTTCTGTAAATAATTTCCCTAGGAACTGTTCTGCCATATTTCCATTAAGCAAGCTCTTTGGGGGCTCCCATTCACCTTAGTGTTCCCCATGCCTGGCGCTGTGCTTGGCACCTAGCAGACTGTCAAAAAAATACCTGTTGACCTGAACTGAAGAGAGATAGCACTTAGAGAAGGCTGTGAGCTGTCATGGACTGAATGTTTCTGCCCCCTCCTCAAATTCATACGTTGAAACCTTCACCCCCAGTGTCGTGGTACTTGAGCATGAACCTTTGGGAGATGATTAAGGTTAGATGAGCTTGTGAGGCTGGAGTTCCTAGGTTGGGATGAGCATCCTTATAAGAAGAGACACACAGAGCAGGCTCTTGTGTTCTGTCTGGCTCTCTCTCTCCAAGCCCAAAGAAGTCATGTGAGCACACACTACCTGCCTGCAATCCCAGCTAAGAGACCTTGGAATGCAACCTACCTTGCCAGCACCTGGATCTGGGACTTCCCAGCCTCCAGAGCTGTGAGAAATAGATGTCTGTTGCTGAAACTTCCTAGTCTGCGGTATTTCATTATGGCTGCCTACGCTGACAAAACAGCCCTGGTTTGTGTGCTCAACTCCATGGAAGGGTGGAAAGAGACATGGCCATGGAGGGGAACCCGCGGGGTGGCGGGGGAGGGGGCAGGCTTCACCTTCACTGACCATGACCTTGGACAAGTCTCTGCAATTCTAATTCCTCTTTTTAAAAAATGGGGAAAAATAAGAACAGGGAAACTTTTCATAAATCTTAGCAGTTCTCAGCATTTCCCCCCATACTATGCTGAAGGGCCTTCACACCCACACAGTGGGCAGGGCAGGATCTGTTCTCCTACCTGCCTGTGAGGAAACTGAGGCTAGGAGGCAGTCATTCCCATTCCTCAGGTGACTCTGAGAGCAAATGTAGAAAGTCAGAGTCATCTGACTCAGAATTCCATAAGCTTTTCACCTAGGCTGTGTGGAAGGACTTGGTAATCTGCCAGACGTTTTACAAGTACAGTCATCTCTCAAAGGGATGCTTGATGTATCCAAGGAGGATTGCTTGCAGAACTCCTTGAGATACCAAAATCTCCTGATGCTCAAGTCCCTTATAGAAAATGGCATTTACATATAACCTGTGCACGACTTCTTGTCATATACTTTAAACCATCTCTGTATTACTTTTAATACCTGATACAATACCAATGATATATAAATAGTCATTATACTGTATTGTTATACAATTTGCATTATTTTATTGTTGTCTTGTTATCATATTTATGTATAATATTTTGATCCCTGGTTGGTTGAATCTGTAGATGTGGAATGCACAGACATGGAGGGCTGACTGTATCATAGCTTAGTGGCGTGACTCCAAAGATAATGCTGTCTACAATGACTTCATCCTGCTTCTCCAGAGGTCCTTAAATTTTCAACCGTCGTTAAAATGTAAGATCAGGGAATCTTTCTTTCTGTTGTGAACTGAGAAAACGTCAGGGTTATTTCTGTTTCTTTGTTCCCAGGGAAATGGGTAGGTTGCATGCTAGAAGCATTCCTTCTCAGTCTATTGTATTCTCTATGCTGCGATGTTTAAAACCAGTCAGCTCGGGAAAGAGTCCTGTTTTCACCAAAGCTGAAAAATCATTTATTTGCATGGAAGACACAGAGTAGATGTGGGTAAATGTCAGTTGATATTTTATGGTTTGGGGATTAGACAACTCCTCTTCATCGTTAAAATTTTTTTTGTTGTTTGTGCTGTTGTTTAAAGATTTAAAATGCCCACGAAAGACCTTGAATAATTCATTCCCTTACCTTATTCAAAGAGAAAAATCTCCCTTCATATACTCAGCAAAAGAGAGAAAATTCTTCTTAGACCCTTCTTGTAGCATTGAGGTTATAATTACGGGTGTTATTATGGACGCTAAATAAGAACTTGCGAAATAAATATTTTTAAAGTGCCCATTTCTGGGAGGCAGGCACCTCCATTTCCATGTGTGCAGCCATACAGACAGCCAGATCTTTAGCCTTAATGGTTTAGTTGCATCTGGGCGATTATGTTCATTTCCACTTATTACTGTGTGTTAGACTCCCTGTGTATGAGTGCAGATTGCCCTTTCTTGCACTGTATTTAGAAATCTCGGAATTACCCCTGGGCATTTGTTCATTAATAGGGGGTGGGGAGAGGAGAAGCTTGTAATAATGGGCTTTACATATCAAACTGTGTGCATCCACGTTCCCGCCCGAACGAAAAGTCTGGTCTGCGTGACCGCCCTCTGGTGGCCGCAGGCCTTCGCTGCAGTGGCAGGGATGTGGGTCGCGGGCGGGGCGGGGCCTGCAGGGGGG